TCTGACATCCATTTTGGTCTTTTCTTTCTTTCCTGTCTTTTTAATGACCTCTTGCTTTCTTCATGTATGATGTCCTTGGTGTCATTCCACAACTCGTCTGGTCTTCAGTCGTTAGTGTTCAATGCGTCAAATCTATTCTTGAGAGGGTCTCTAAATTCAGGAAGGATATACACAAGGTTGTACTTTGGCTGCAGTTGACTTGTTCTGATTTTCTTCAGTTTCAACTTGAGCATGAGCAATTGATGGTCTGTTCCGCGGTCGGCCCCTGGCCTTGTTCTGACTGATGATATTGAGCTTTTCCATCATCTCTTTCCACAGATGGAGTTGTTTTGATTCCTGTGTATTCCATCTGGCGAGGCCCATGTGTATAGTCGTCGTTTTTACGGTGGTGAAAAAAGGTATTTGCAATGAAGAAGTCGTTGGTCTTGCAAAATTCTATCATGCGATCTCCAGCATTGTTTCTATCACCAAGGCCATATTTTCCAACTACCGATCCTTCTTTGTTTCCAACTTTCGCATTCCAATCTCCAATAATTATCAGCGCATCCTGATTGCATGTTCAATCAATTTCAGACTGCGGAAGTTGGTAAAATTCTTCAATTTCTTCATCTTTAGCCTTAGTGGTTGGTGCGTAAATTTGAACATCAGTCGTATTAACTGATCTCCCTTGTAGGAGTGTGGATATAGTCCTATCACTGACAGTGTTGTACTTTAGGATAGATCTTGAAATGTTCTTTTTGACCATGAATGCAAGGCCATTCCTCTTCAAGTTGTCGTTCCCGGCATAGTAGACCATAAGATTGTCTGATTCAAAATGGCCAATACCAGTCCATTTCAGCTCACTGATGCCTAGGATGTCAGTGTTTATCTGTTCCATTTCATTTTTGATGACTTCCAATTTTCCTAGATTCATACTTCATACATTCCACGTTCCGATTATTAATGGATGTCTGCAGCTGTTTCTTCTTATTTTGAGTCATGCCACATCAGCAAATGAAAGTCCCAAAAGCTTGCCTCCATCCACGTTATTAAGGTCGACTCTACTCTGAGGAGGCAGCTCTTCCCCAGTCGTCTTTTGAGTGCTTCCCAACCTGGCGGGCTCATCTTCGGGCACTATTTCAGACAACGTTCTGCTGTTGTTCATAAGGTTTTCACTGGCTAAATCTGTCTTAGTCTGGAAGCTCAGCTGAAACCCATCAGCCATGGGTGACCCTGCTGGTATTTGAATACTGGCGGCATTGCTTCCAGCATCACAGCAACACGCATATACATATTGTTTTGTGACATTGGTTGCCAACCCCATAACATGTCAACACTCTCCCCTTCTCAACCTTGGGTTTCCTCAACTTTCCTGTTCCCTCCTGCCTTCTAGTCCTTGACCCTGGGCTGGTGTACCCCTTTAGTCTTGTTTTGTTTTATGGGCCTGTCTAATCTTTGGCTGAAGGGTGAACCTCAGAAGTGACTTCATTACTGAGATATAAGGTTGTCTGGGGGCCATAGACTCTCGGGGTTTCTCCAGTCTCTGTCAGACCAGTAAGTCTGGTCTACCTTCCACATCTTTCTGGAAGCTCAGACAAACACCCACAAAGTATTTACAAAAACCATCCAGTCCTAATGGTTCTGGGAAAACGGTATATCCACAGGTAGAAGAATAAACCAAGACCCAACCCCTACACCATACATAAAAACCAATTCAGAATGGATTAACGACCTTAATTTGAAAACTAAAATCATAAAATTGATAGAGAAAGCATGGGGATGAAACTGTGGGATGTAAATTTCTGTGATGGGCTATCTGATTTGAAAGCAGCCCTGGTGGCACAGTGGTTAAATGCTCGGCTGTTAACCAAAAGGTTGGTGGATCCAACCCACTAGTCAGTCCATGGGAAAAAGATGTGGGTAAAGATTACAGCCTTGGAAACCCTATTGAGCAGTTCTACTAAGTCCTATAGGGTCACTATGAGTTGGAATCGACTCATCACCAATGTGGTTTTTTTTTTTTTAATCTGATACAACTAAAAGCACGAGCAGCAAAAGACAAAATAGACATATAGGATCTCATAAAAATTAAACATTTTTGTTCATTGAAAGACTTTATCTAAAAAAAGTGGACAGCCTACAGAGTGCAAGAAAATTTTTGGGAATCGTATATCTGATAGAAATCTAATATCCAAAATTCATAAAATACTTCTAAGCTTAACACCAACAGAAAAAGGACAAACAACCCAATCAAAAAATAGGTGAATAGACATTTCACCAAAGAAGGTATTCAAATAGCCAACAAGCACATGAAAAAATGCTCAAAGTGACTAGCCATTAAACCAAAAAAACCAAACCTATTGCCGCCAAGTCGATTCTGACCCATAGGAACCCTACAGGACAGAACAGAACTGCCCCATAGGGTTTCCAAGGAGCAGCTGGTGGATTTGAACTGCTGACCTTTCGGTTAGCAGCCTTAACACTTAACCACTGCACCACCAGGATTTAGGGAAATGCGAGTCAAAACCACAGTTCAATACCATCTCACCCCATAAGGCCTCTTTAAAATGTTAAAAAGCAAAGATGTCACTTTGATGACTAAGGTGTGCCTGACCCAAGCTCAGGTATTTTCAATCTCCTCATATGCATGAGAAAGCTGGACAATGAAAGAGGAAGATGGAAGAAGAAGAAGAATTGACCCATTTGAATTGTCAATGTGGTGTTGTCAAAGAATATTAACTATACCCTGGGCTGCCAGAAGAAGGAACAAATCAATCTTGGAGCTAGTACAGCCAGAATGCTCCTTAGAAGCCAGGATGGCGAGACTTCATCTTGCTTGCTTTGGACAAAGCATCAGGAAAGACCAATCACTGTAGAAGGACATCATCCTTGGTAAAGTAGAGGGTCAGTGAAAAAGAGGGAGACCCTCAATGAGATGGACTGACACAGTGGCTGCTGCAATGGGTTCAAACACAGCAACAATTGGGAGGAGGGCGCAGCACTGGGCAGTATTTTGTTCTGTTATATGTAATGTCTCTATGGGTGGGAGCCAACTCAATGGTGCCTGATAACAGCAATGAGGTTGAGCATCCTTTCCTGTTGTTTATTGGCATTTGGATTTCCAATTTTGTGAAATTTTTTGTGGGGTTTGTTGCCTTTTCCTATTAATTTTAAGACACTTTTTGCATAGTACAATTAAAACCTTTTATTTATCATATCTGTTGCAACTATTTTCCTTGGTATATTGTTTACTTTCTGACTTTACATATATAGTATCTTTTGCTATGCAAATATTAATACTTTTAATTTTGATATAGCTAAATGTATCTTTTCCTTCCTGACATCTGTTTCCTATCTTGCTTAGAAAGTCCTCCCCACCGCAAAGTAAAACAAATATTCTCCAAGAATTTTTTTGTAAAATATTTGTTTTTCCACATGTAATTTTTATTAATCTTGAATTGATTTTTGGGTATGGTGTGAGGCAAGGATCTAACTTTGTTTTCGTCTTGTCAGTTTCTCCAGAACCATTTATTAAATAAACTATTCTTTCCCACCAAAATGAAATACATTTGTATCCTATATTAAATTCTCTTAGCTAATCAGGTATATTTTTAAGTCATCTATTATATTCTACTGGTCTATATTTATTCTTGGTAAACACCATACTCTTTTGATTACAGTCACATAATGGTTAAGTTTGGGGTCCCTGAGTGGTGCAAATGGTTAATGCACTCAGCTGCTAACTGAAAGTTCGGCGGTTCGAGCCCACCTGGAGGCACCTTTCCAGGCCTGAGAGGTCAGACTGAGGGAAACTGGCCTGAGCTCAGAGACCACACTCAGCGGATGGCAGAGCAGAGAGAGAGCTACAGACAAACAGATCCAGAATCCTGCAGATATTGAGGACTTCTGGATCAAACTGTACCTGAAACCTGGCTATGTTAACAAGGCTCATACAGTCCCATTTTCATGTTGGCCATCTAAGTGAAATTTTTGCTACTTGCAGCTAAAACAAGAATCTGGACCTCTTTGGGGTCCCCTCCTTAAGCTACTAGACAGCTGTTGGCATTCACACTGTTTAACAACTGGCCCAATCCGAGCAGAGAACAGTCAGAATAGCCTGCAGGTCACAGCAGTGGGCCTGTGTCCTGGAGGTCCCTACTGGACTGCAGGGGGGTCTGGGACACCCCGGGGAGGACTAAGCTGGCAGGCACATAGAGAAGTCACTATTTACCAGCTGGCACACAAGAGTTTTGATACTTTAATGACCTGTGCAGCTGTGAACCAACCTGAGCCCTTACAAGGACCCCACAGCTGGTCCTGAAACGAGGCTTTATTTGGGTCTGAATGAGAAGCGAAAGTTCAAGCAAAGCAGAGAGGAAGGCCTGGGATGGGTGACGGGCTGCACTGGTTCCCAAGTCCTGGCCCAGGACTTGGGCATGAGGGATGAGAGTGGGTGGGGACCGGGGCAGGCAAGAGGCTCAGGTTTTCTCAGGTTCATCGTTGCCCTTCTCTGCCAGGTGAGAGCTGGCCTTGGAGGGAACCTTGGAGGGGACCTTGGAGAGGACCCTGGAGGGAATGTTGGATGGCATGCTGAAGAGTCTCGAGGAGGCGTAGCTATAGTAGGACTCTCTGGCCATGAAGTTTTTGATCCGCCAGCGGAGGATGTTGCAGGCCTTCACCACAAAGGGCCACAGGAAGCAGATCATCAGGTAGAGGACCACCAGGCCCACAAATATGCTGGCTGACACCTGCAGGCACCTTACGGTGGGCATGAGGGGGCTGTCCGGGGCCCCTCACATGCCCAGCAGGGCAGCTCGGGGTGGCCACTCACCATGAGGAAGAAGAGGGACTGCCTGGCACTGAGGGGGAGCCCGTGGATGTGCAGCAGGAAGATGAGCTGGTAGTCACAGTATGTGCTCTTGTCCACACCTCTGGTGGGGGGTTTGGTCCAGCATTGGGGGAACAGCAGGGCACCCCATGAGAGGACCCCAGCCGCACCGGGACCACCTGCGTGGCTCACCTATTACTCACCAACACCTTGAAGAAGAACTCAGGGGCGAAGATGCTCCGAGGAACCGTGTCATGGCATGGGGAGTTCTTCAGGCACAGCCACCTGGGGGCCAGGTTCAGGCGCGTGCTAGGAGCTGGCCTGGTGTGTGCCGGCCCAATTTCTCCCTCCACCCCACCAACTCTGCACGAGCACCAGCTAGGTGCACCCTCATACCTTCCCTCATTCACTCCTCCAGGGATGCTGACTGAATGCCTACTGAGCAGTAGGCTGTTTGATCACACCTTCGTTTCCTCCTGCCTGCACACCTCCATCTGTCCATCCATCCCTTAGTGTGTGCTCATCCAAAAAGGATTGGATTGTGAACCTACTATGTGCCAGTTCCTCACATCCCTTGCTGCCTTTATTCTTTCATCCTACAAATATAGCTTGAGCAACTACACGGTACAAAATCATATCTTCATTCATTTATTTTTCCCTCCCTCCTTCCTTCAATGAACATAGGCTGAATATTGACTGGATGTAAGTTGGTTAATTTGTTCATTCATTCGCTGCCTTCATTTGCTCATGGCATCATTTTCTTCCTTTCATTGGATCAAAAATAGTTATTGAGCCTCCAGGTGCTAATTTGCTCCTCGATTGTTTTATTCATTTATTAATACCAATACAAAAATAACACTAAAACCAGTTTCCATCGAGTCAGTTCCAAGTCACGGCTACCCCATGTGTTACAGAGCAGAACTGTTCCATAGGGTTTTCTTGGCTGTAATCTTTATGGAAGCAGTTTGCTAGTCCTTTCTTCCACAGTGCCAATGGGTAGGTTCGAACCACCAACCTTTAGGTTAGTAGTCAAGCAAACTGTCTGCCCCACTGGGGAACTTCATGCATTAATACATCTACTCTTCACTTATCAACTATCTCCTTATCTGACATTTCACATTTACAACAATAGTAAAAAAAATTACTATCCAACTATTTTGCGCATTAACGATGTACATCTGGCAGTAATGGAAGCCGAGGTGCAAGACAAGAGTAACACTGGCTGTGGAGGTTAAGATTATGTGTCAGCTTTGCTTGGCCAAGTTTCTCTGTGGTTCGGCAGCTGTGTAATGATGTCATTTGGCAGTTAGGTAATGATGTAGTCATGCTCCATTTTGTGTTCTGATACGGTCATCCTCCATTTTCACATAATGTGGATTTTCACCTAGCCTTTGGAATCTAACCATGTGGCTAAGTGAAGAGTGGGTGTACCTCCGTTCAAATGTCAATAAATGTCCCGTGTGAATTCATTTATTCATCCTCTCATTCAACAAATACGTATTGTGTCTATTCGGGACCTGGACTAGCAGAGGAGACAGGCCCCATAAGAGACAGTGACAGCCCAGAGTGGTGGGGTAGGGATGGGGGAGGAGTAGGCAGAGGGGGCAGGCTGGGATGGGAAAGCACGGAGGCTACAGGAACCAAGAGGAGGCCTCTGTCCCGGCTTGGAACAGTCAGAAATGCCCTCCTGGATGAACTAAAGAGAGCCCCTGGTGGCACAGTGGTTAAAGCACTCAGCTGCGAACCAAAAGGTCGGTGGTTAGAACCTACCAGCCACTCCACAAGAGAAATACATGGCTGTCTGCTTCCGTAAAGATTACAGCCTTGGAAACCCTACCGGGCAGTTCTACTCTATTCTACAGAGCTGACGAGTCAGAATACACTCGACAGCAGTGGGTTTGGTTTTGGATGAACTAAGGCCTGAGGGAAGAGTAGGAGGAATGAGCATTCCAGAGGGTCCATCTTATGTAAAGGTCGGCCCCGTTTGAGGGACACAAAGACGGTCAGCGGGGCTTGGGGATCAAAAGAAAGGATGAGTGGGCAGAAGGGGAACAAGGGGGCCTGCAGCCAGGCCGGCACTCACTCCATGCCCAAGCGCTGGCCGGGCTTGAGGTTGAAGGCCAAATCCTCCATGGTCGTCCTGTTCCTCGCAGTCCAGATGAGGCTGTGCGTTCTGTGCAGGACACAATCACTTCAGTGGGGGCGGGGCCTCGGCGGCGGAGGCCAGGAGTGGGGG